TTCTCTCAAACCAGATGCCAACTTCTACTGAATTATTTCACAAGTGAGAGAGAATGGAGAATCAATAGCCAGTGGCAAGAAAAGAGAGGAAATGTGTGTGGACTCCTTTCCCTTTTTCTTTTCAAGGGAGTTAATATGCATGGAGCCTCACTTTGCAGGGAGGGTGGGGCAGCTGCCTGCTCTGCACATCCCGGGGTGCACATAGGATATGTTTTAAAGGTCTTTTCTGTGTCTTTGCAGGTGGTATAAATTCTGCCCAGTTCAGGCCTCTGGTGCTCATTCAGCCCTGAATACTGTTGACAGTATCCAGGTATCTGTGGGGCCCTGAGAACTTCTTTGTGTGGAGTGTATGAGATGGCCATGATTGGAATTCCAGGGAGCAGTGATTAATCAGACCCCARGATGTTCCACTCATCCACTTGTTGGTTGAGTTATTATTGGATGCCTACTCTAAGATGTGGCAATATCATCTCTGAGAGCTGTGGGGCTATAGGAGATTCATGGACGGTCTCCAATTTACAAACAGCTTGTTTGCCTTGTACAATATCTCCTGTAAGTTGACTGTTTTATGAAATGAAAACCTCATCTTCAGTCTTCAGGTCAACCTGGAGTTGGGACCACCTTCTATAGTGATGGATGGGATCAAGATTCCGGCAGGACCGTCCAACTGCATACCTCCACAGGTGTGCTCATTCCATTATACTTTCTTGAAAACAAGTAATCAACAAGAACAAAGCCCCTTATTTCCATTCTTCTTCCAGGAGCTCCCTGTATGCCCCTCCTTTTCTCTATTGTACTTCTCAATACAGTATGTGAAATGGTAGTGACTTCAGTGTCACTGAATCTGTGGGCGTTTTTCATTCCACATGACGTTCATCTCCCTCAGCAGTGTCTGGCTGTCTGCATCTCTTTTGACTTGAACACAGATCCCCCTGGCTTTCTTGATGCTATGCTCTCTGGTTTTCCTTTTTATGTGCTTGGATGGTCTTTCTTAGCCTTCACAGTCTGCATTTCTTTCTCTACTTATTGCTTGGCTGTTGGTGAAACCAAAGGCTCAACCCTGGACTTGTTCTTCGTCTTGTCTCACTCTCCACTCTCCTACCAGGAAATCTGAGTAAAGCCCAGGGTTTTCATTTACCACGTGATGGGAGACTTCTATGGCACTAATCCCATTCATGGGGGCTCCACTCTCAGGATCTAGTCACCTCTGGAAGGCCCCACTTCCTAACACCCTCACCTTGGAATTAGGAAGTTAACATGTGAATTTTGAGGGAGACATTTATTCCACTGTACTCTGTACCCTTGTAAGAGCCTGGACTGGCAAATCTACCTCCTTTGAACCTACAATGCATATACTTTTATTTCACATCTGCCCGCATTCTACCTTGGTATCTAGTCACTTAGGTGTTCAACCTACCTTCCCTTATGTCTTTGGGTCATTCTCATTGCTGGGCCTCCTGCCATATTTAAGCTAGCGAGTTGAGTGCTCAGAGCTTGGAGAACTGAGTCAAATTCAACTGAATTTGCACTGATTGTTCTTTGCCCAAGCCCTTCATGACCAATGGTACACACCTGTAAGGGATCAACCAGGACTGGGGCTACTGTTTGTGTATGTGGGACATATTGATTCTAAAGTGGGGTTGGACCCTCTGAACCCAAACCTTGCTAACTTCATGTTGAATTAGCACCATTTTTCAGTCTACTGAGATAGCTATTATGGTTTTTCGTAGTCAGAATGATTCTTGAGATATTGATAGCTATTTTTGAGTGGGGAAATGACCTGTTTATTTGCTGACTCAACAAAAAGCAGGCACTGTATGTCAGATGCTGTTCTAGGCATTGAGGGTAAAGTCATGAACAGAAAAGCTGCCCTTGTGGAACATTSTGGTGTGGAGAATAGGCAATAAATAAGTAAATAAGTACATGCTTAGTGTACTTCAGATAATGACAAGTACTCGACCTTCAAGTCATTAAAGCAAGTAAGGAGGGAGACACTATTAGATGGACAGAGAAGGCTCATCTGAGGAGGTGACCTTGAGTGGATTTTTGAATGTAGAGGTACTGGCCATGTGAATATATGGAGATGGGTTCTTAGTCAGAGGCACTAGCATGAGCTAAGGCCCTGAGATGGGAACAAACCTACTTGATTTGAGGAGTGAATGACAAGTGTGGCTGGAGTGGAGTGAGGTGTGGGGTCAGAATGGCCCAGAGGCCACATCATGAATATCCTGATAGGTCATTAAAAGGAGTTGGCTTTTATTCTAGGAGCAATGGGAAGACATTGCAGGGTTGAACAGAAAGGTGACATGATCTATTTATCTTTCAAAAAGATCACTTTGGTTACTGGGTGAAAATAGATCAGGGGTGGATACAGCAATAGAAGGGGATTGTGCTGGTTCCACCGCGAAGTGATGGAATCTGGAACTGGGTACAGGAGAAGGAGAAAGAGGTGACACWTCATGACTAAGTGACAGTTCCCTCCTCACATGGAAAACCTGTTCTTAAATTTGGGGGCAGAGGATTTTGTTAAGCCTCTAGTGATTTGCCATAGTGATTCTCCAGACTCAGAGACTTCTGCGATTCTACTGGGGGAGATAAATTTTCCCGTGGCTGCCTAACAGCTTGTGCTTGCCTCTGGTTTTTTYCCTACCCATAGTTTAACTATTGCTTTTGACCCCTTGCTTGACATTGTGTAAGTGTAGCCTGCAGCATGTTCCATTGTTCAGTGGTCAGTCCCCGCACCAGCCTGGGAATGCCTGGAACACATCATGGTGATCACCTAATTCACCCTGGCACCTCTAGTGCCTGCCATGGTGTTTCACACTTCATTGAAGGCATTTAACACATTTTGTTGAATGAATAAATTAACATGATGTCAGTCCCTATGTAGACAGGACAATTTTATGGAAGAGGCCCACCCATAAAGACACAATAGACAAATGGAGCAGGCACACACTCCATTTGTTGTGTGTGACCCAAGAGCTTTGTAAGTTAAGAGTTGTATTAGTTCACTTTTCATTACTTTARCAAAATATCTGAGGCAAGCTACTTTATAAAGAGAACAGGTTTATTTTTGCTACAGATTGTTTCTGGAGGCACAAGTTCTAAATAGCATGATGCAAGGTTCTGGTGAGCGCCCCTCACCTAAGTTACATCATGGTGGAAGGGAGCAGGTGTCTCTGTCAGTGTGGTCTCTCTCCTTCTAAAGCCACCAGGGTTCAAACATGGGAAAGCCACATAATGATCTAATCTAATCACTTCCAAATATTCCATCTCTAACCACGACAGTCGGATTAAGTTTCTACCCGCTTAATACCATGAGCATAAGATTTTGGGGGACTAAACTCTTGCATGAGCTCAGGAGGACAAATCATCTTCAAACCATCACAGGGGTAGTTATTACTGATACTCAAAATGACCAAGTTCCCATAAACATGTGGCATTTCTGGGAACAGAATTTAGTCTGGAGTGGGAGGGGAAGAGGGAGGATTTTAAAAATTTGCAAGAACTGGAAAGAGATTGGAGAAGGAAAGGGAAGATACATTGGTTTGATTTTCAAGGAGCTCAATTGCTACATTTTGCATAGTGTGTGGAATCTTTGAGCTGAAAAACAGTTGTGGAGATGTGTGGGTTAAATACCTCTTCTTACAGATAACAGTCATTATTCATGAAGTATTGCTATGTGTCAGATACTATTTTAAGTGCTTCACACAGGCTAAGGGATCCAATACTCCTAACACTCCTATGAAATAGATACTATTGTTCCCATTTTATAGTTGGAGAAACTGAGCCCACTGACATTAAATAATTTATTCAGGGTTCTGTATCTTTTTAGGAGCCAGGGATAGAGCCCAAATCTCTTGTTCCTTAACTACTTTCTTCACTAAGATGCTGCCATTCAAGCCCTTGCTGGCAGCAGAAAAAAATATAATACTATTTTGTGGTTTCCTCAAAATGTTAATTTGCTCAATTAACTCCTGGTAAAGCTTGGGGTGCACCAGCTAATACAAACCTTAGATGGACTTTGGACAAACACATCGMGTATGCTTGGATTCAGAGAACTTGCTCTACCTGGGCCATAGGAGAGGGCCATACTTATTTGTCTTGTTTCTGCATTTAGGGCTGTGGATCAGGGAGGTCAACAAATAGTCCACTTCCCTGTTTATGCACCAGTGGGTATGCAATAAGTACTAATTGMTGATGACGGTTTGCACTCCTTGGTTCATTCAGTTCACCCTCTTTTATTTGTTTTGAGCAAAATTTTTTTTTCCCAACCTGCTGAATGTAACAGGTAATTAACACCACTTAATAGCTGTTAAGTGGGATGATCATCTGTTTTTTTCCTGGAAAAGGCTCTCCTTTGGAAGCTAATAGTGCTGCTGAAGACCCAGGCTGATTCTTGGCTCCCTCTATTACGGAGTATTGTGTGGAGCAGTGAGATAAAATCGATTYTCAGAAAACAGCAGTTCAGTAAGGGTGGTGGTGCAGGCCTGTAATCCCAGCAGCACTCTGGAAGCTGAAGCAAGAGGATCCCAAGTTCAAGGTCAACCYCAGCAATGTAGTGAGACCCTCAGCAACCTARGGAGACCCTGTCTCAAAATAAAAAATAAAAAATGCCGAGGGATGTAGTTGTTGGAAATCCTGGGGTGCTGCAAGAAATTGAACAATGTGCTCAGAAGTGGGTGGGCAAGGCAGACTTGATTTCTGCTAGAAGGGCGTGCTCTAGAACCTGCCCAGAAAGGGTGCCTGGGTGGGCAGTTGTCCTACTTTTATCCTGAATGCAGTGCTCCCCTGGCCCTGATAGGAGGAGCTCAGGCTTACAATCTATGCAATTAGCTAATTTTAGTTAAAATGGCTACAATTGGATCTAACATCCCAATGAAGGCTAAATACTATATTCTGGAAATGGACCACTGAACTTTCTAGTTCTCACATCGTTCAGTGGTAAAGTGCCCCTCGGTTCCATCTGCAGTACCAATAAAAGGAAGGAAGGAAGGAAGGAAGGAAAGAAAGAAGGAAGGAAGGAAAGAAGGGGTAAACAGCAGGTTTTTCTTACATAAGAGGCTGGCAACAGAAGTCTCACATGGAAAACACAAGACTAGGAGGGCAGCAAATTAAGAAGGTGTGGCCTCGGGCCACCATGGGTGGGTCATTTGGGGGAGGATAGCACTAGCAGCTGTTCCTCAATTCACTAGTAATCTGTGGGTGGGGGGAGCCCAATGTCTAGACATTGTCATCGACTCCGTGCTAAGTAACCAAAGGCAGAGGAGGATTTGTTTCTGCCCTTGGCTTCCTTCCTGTCACCAGGGTCATCCTGGTTAGGTGACATCATCAGGATGTTCTCTGGAAGTCACCCTGGTTTTAAAAGAGCCTGGGGTGAGGGGTTTCCAGTCTCCATGTCATTTCTGTGGAAGATTAGTAAGGAACAGCCCAAGTGATGGAAAGACRAGTTTCTTTCCAGGACATTAAGAAAGAAGTGACTGTCTCATACCCTCAATGAAAGGACAACACCGAGTGGCCATTGGGAGTGCCCCTTTGTGTCCACATCCTGCCTTCCGTAAGACAACTCGTCCTGGGCGCCTCACTCAGAGGCCTGCTCCTCCAAGGAGCCCTCCTCCCTTGCCTTAGTCCCGGTCAGTGGTTTCTACTCTCCTTCCCTACTGCACAGTGTTGCTGAAGGGCCGCCTGTTAGTCCTTGGCTCTTTGTTGTTGTTTATAGACCCTGTTGGCACAGGCTTTATCCACACTGCAATCCTCCCTAGCTGGACTTCTTTGAATTCACTACCTGGTAAGTGCTTATCATAAATATTTCCTGAATGGGTTCCTAAGTGGGGCTCTTTACCACTGGAACGAGGCTTGTTAAGCCCTTAACCCCGTTGCCCTCTGCGTTCTGGAACATTTCTTCTCTGGTTAGCGTCTCTCCAATAGTCTGAACCCTTGCCTCATCAACCCCTCTATTCTGAACATGATTCCTACTCCCATTATCCCTGGCTTAAAGAAAAGAAGAAAAGGAGTGGGTAGCTACAAGTGTTAACTTCAGCTGTCTCTCAATTGCCAGCAAGTTGTAGGAGAATTTTGTCCCTTTAAAAATATGGCATTATTTGAGAGAGTGCTTTAATTCTCTTCTCCTCCCTGAGTGGGCTATTAGGTAGTTCAGTAATTTAACAAGTGTGTGAGGAAACTGGCAGAGAGGCTTTTGAAATTCAAGTGACTCTTGTTGGTGCATGAAAATAATTATAAAAGGCAGGCTGACAGGAGTAGGCAGGGTGAGGCCGGCACCCAAAGGTTTGGTCCTAAAAGGAACCAGTCACCTGTCAGATCTAGACAATGTTCATTGAGACACCAGGAAGGCCAAAGTCAGTGGAAGGAGCTTGAGGAGGGTGAAGGGAGAGGTAGCCTGTGGAGAATTGGCAGAATAAACTGAAGAGGGAATTCTGGAGGTAGAAGATGCCCCAGAGCTTTGYCTCTAATCCTGGAAGATGCCAAAGCTAACCTTCCAAGACTAAAGACCAGTGGCCCCAAGGAGCCTCCTGAGTGTCCTCCCACACAATGAGGGTGGGGAGAACAGGGAGCCAGCTTCAATGATCATTGATTGTAAATGCTCTCCACCTAGACTCAAGTCACCCCAAGCAGTAATATGCAGGGCTCCAAGTGCACAGGTCTGTCACAGTGAGGGAGATGCCACATAACCCTGCTGGACAGTTGGGGATGAGATCTGGGATCCAACGTCTTCAAAAAGGACATGTGTGTTTGCTTGGTTTATTTYTCAAACCTTTGGTCTATAATCTCTGTTTCAATTTTATTTTTTAACCAAATCACTAGAAGATTATCGGCTTCTCTTGAAGACTGGCCTGATCCCCTAGAGTCAGCTACGATGGTGTCCTTATGACCATGGGTGGTCAAGATCAAAGCAATACTTGGTTCAGACATTTAAGAGAGCTGCTGACTCTGAGCCACATTTAAGTTTTGGGTTTTACATAAAATTGGCAGGTGTCATATTAGTTTTATGGAGACTTTAAAAATGATAATTCTAGATTAGGTGATTCTGTGCTAAATTGCTTTTGTATCAGAGTCATTGGCTTACCATTTACAATATTTGATAAATGTTGGTGCAAAATTCCAGGAGGTCAAAAAATTTAGCATGCCAGCACCTTGAAATAGGGAACATTCAAGTCACTCCAAGCCTGGGTTCTGGCTGAGGTTTTCCTGCTTTGTGCCCTTTATGCCCCTGAGATTGGCATGCTGATCTCTAATGAGATAGGGCCTAAGGGGCTGGGCTGTCCTTCCTGAAGGTCCAGAAGCCCATAGTGAAGCATCCTGTGGCAGTCTTCACCTGGAGTAATTCAACAGAAAGTAGCCTCCTTGAGTAACTCAGAAGGCCTCAGGCTGAGGTTTCCTGACAGTGCTCAGATATACTTTTTTGTAGTCTTATTGTTTAGTAAAATCATAGTTTCCCAAGTCTTCCTTTGCCTCTCTGTGTTAGTCAGCTTTCTGTCGCTATAATACAACACCTGAGATAATCAACAGATAGGGAGGAAAGGTTTATTTTGGCCCACAGTTTTGGAGTTTCCAGTCCATGCTTGATTGGCCCTATTGCTTTGTACCTGTGGCAAGGCAGGACATCACAACAGGAGTATGTGGCAGAGAAAAGCGGCTCACCTCATCTCCAGGAAGCAAAAACAAGATTGAAGAAGTGGCCGGAAGTCCCACAATTCCCTTCAAGGGCTCACCCTCAGTGACCTAAAGACCTCCCACTAGGCCCCACCTATTAAAGGTCCCACCCCCTCCTAGTATAGCACCTGGGGACCAAGCCTTTTAAGACATGGGCCTCTAGGGGACATTCAAGATCCAAACTACAGTACCCTTCTTCCTGCTGTCCCCTCATTCTGAGGCAAATTGACCAGGGGCTGACTGTATGTCGGTGGGCATTATTGTGCATTGGAGAACAAATAATACATCTGCTGGCTGCACATTTATGAGAAAATTGTCTTCATCTCCTTCATCTTGCTGGTCCCAGGAGGGAGTCTTTGTTTTAAGGTCAGCTTAGTGTGGGCTTGGGAGTCCAATAAAAGAAACATTATCCTTTCCTTTTTCTTCATGCTCACTGGCACGGAGGCTGGGAAACCTTAGGTGACACACAGGGGACTGGATCACTGTTGTTGAAAGTAGGCAAGGACTGGGGTGTTGTGGGCTGGCAGGAAAGTCTGCTGAGCAGCCCTGGTTTCTCTTTCCAGTTGGGGATGCTGAAAGCTGTGTCAGTCCAAGAGGAACAGAGGAGACTAGATCAAGAACTAGGAAGCCAGGGGCTGGGGTTGTGGCTCAGAGGTAGAGCGCTCTCCTACCATGCGTGAGGCACCGGGTTTGATCCTCAGCACCGCATAAAAATAAAATAAAGTTATTGGAAGAAAAAAAAAAAAGAAAAAAGAACTGGGCAGGCAAGTTTGGCTCAGGGCCATTCCACTGACTTTCCTGGGAATGACAATTCACTGGCATATGATTATTCACAATAGTAACACTTGTCACAGGAGTGGTTTCTTCTGTGCTCCATGCTCTCACCTTTGAGAACAAAGTCATTCATAGTAGAGCCTGGGTCCCTCACTGGTAGGTGTGGCATTTTACAGATGAGGACAATATGGCTCAGCGTGGGTAACTGATCTCAGTATCACACAGTCCCTCCTTATGTAACTGGCAGGGATTTACATAATGCTTTGAGAAATTGTGCTCATCATTTCAGCTCAGTGTGATTACGGCTGAAAAGCTTGTTGTCTGAGTTGAAAGGGTCCATTCAGAGATGGGCGGAGACCCAGCCTCAGAGCTTCCACTCTCTCCAAGCTAACCTCAGCCCCAGGATCTTCCCTGTGCCGCCGGTGGCTGTGGTGCTTATTGTGTTTGGTCCCAGATATGCTCAGGTCCTCAGAAATCCTGTCTTCTGGGATGCTGGCCTCCTCCCTAAGGAGTCCCCTTTCTTTCCCAGGATGCATCATTCCTTTGCTTCAATTTCAATAAGAAGAATCTCTTCCTATTCCTGATGCCCCTCTGTTCCATAGCACTGAAAATAAGACTGAAGTTATCATATCATTATATTATTCTCCCACGGTATATAAAGGTTGCCCATCAGTTGCAAATTATTTGTGGGATAAAGAAGGAGCCGGGCACAGTGGTGCATGCCTGTAATCCCAGCAGCTCAGGAGGCTGAGGCAGGAAGGTTCACAAATTCAAAGCCAGCCTCAGCAACTTAGAAAGGCCCTAAGCAACTTATGGAGACCCCATCTCTAAATAAAATATTTTAAAAAGGGCTCAGGGTGTGAAGCAGTGGTTAAGCACCCCTGGGTTCCATCCCCAGTATCGAAGGTGGGGCGGGGAGTAAATGATTGGATATGTTACCAGACCCAGGTTTGGGGTCTCATTCCATTGGAAAACCAATGTCCCAGAGACAAGTGCTGGGGAGAAAGAAAGGCCTTATTCTGTGGCCAAAGAATGTAGGAGAATTAGCTTCACTCACAATCAACTTTCCTAACTCTGGTGTAGGATGGGRATAATGGGGGAGAGAAGCAGCTTAATAAAGGTGAGGAATATTTGTGTTTATTTTAAAAATAGGTGTGTATCTTCCAGGAACTTGGTGCCATCTCTTTTCACTCCTTTTGTGGTCTAGTGTTTCTGGTCATGGAAGCTGATAGGTGTTGTTAGTCTTGAAAAGGCAGAGGGAGAAAGAGATTAGGCAAGTCTAGGGCAAGTTAACCTTATATTAAAGTTTTAGACAAAACATTTCTCAAGTGTTGGACAGGTCTATAGGCAGAACTTAGTAGAATATGACCTTCAGGTCAAGGCAACAAAGGACAGACACAAGATAAAGACAGAGATGCTAAGTGTTTTCATCTGTACCCATTGGACATCTGTAGGCCTAAGAGTCAGTATTTCAGCAGAAGCAGCCTTCAGGTCCCTGAAGAGTAACCTAGGCAACCGTTATCATCATATCCTACACATCAGAGGTCTTATCTACAGCAACGCTAGTGAGAAACTAATAATGTATCATTCAGCTGTGTGA